AAAACCAGGCAAACACCAGGAAAAGAGGGGAGCAGGATTTTCAAACTAGAATCAGGAAGCTCAAGCAAGCCATCTGGAAGTTGAAACTACAGGTACCTTACATATTTCATTGAATTTATGGTACTCCTTGTGGAAAGTCTCCAGCAAATTTAATTCATGAACAGAAGTCCATTTGAATATACAGTTCTGTTTAAACAATTCAGTTGCAATGAATGAATAATTCTCCCACTAGATTTTCTAATCACAACATTTTTAATATGTGTGTTAGCTTTATGGTAAGGGTAGGATGAAGAACTGTTCAGACCTACATCAAGACTCAGAATTAGAACTTGCTGCACATTTGGATGAGGAATTTCACAAACAACTTAACAACTATACTTCTAGTAAGGAATGAAACAAACAAACAAACAAACACACACTTTTTTATTAAAAAACACACACTTTTTTACATCCCAGGAAAAAAGTGAGATATGGGTATCAGAGTTCCTCGTGGGAACAGCATCGAACAGTAACAGAGGTTCTGACAATCCTCACCAGGACGGGTTAGGGGTTGACCTGCTGGAAAGCTCTGCAGAGAGGGATTTGGGAGTCCTGTTTGACAGCAAGTTAACCATGAGGCAGCAATGTGCCCTCGCGGCCAAGAAGGCCAATGGGATCCTGGCTGCATCAGGAGGAGTGTCGGCAGCAGGTCAAGGGAGGGGATCCTGCCCCTCTAACTCAGCTCTGGTGGGGCCGCACCTGGAGTATTGGGTGCAGTTCTGGGCTCCCCAGGACAAGAGGGACATTGAGCTTCTAGAGAGGGTCCAGCGTAGAGCGACAAAGATGTTAAGGGAGCAAAGCATCTATCTTATGAGGAAAGACTAAGCGAGCTGGGCATGTTTAGGCTGGAGAAGAGAAGACGGAGGGAAGATCTGATCCCCTGTAAAGTACCTGGAGGAAGAACGTAAAGAGAATGGTGCCAAACTCTTCTTGGTAGAAGCCAGTGACAGGACAAGGGGTAATGGGTGCAAGCTGAAACACAGGAAGTTCCACCTCCATGTGGTGGAGAACTTCTTTCCTGTGAGGGTGACGGAGCCGTAGAACAGGCTGCCCAGAGAGGCTGTGGAGTCTCCTTCTTGGGAGATCTTCCAAACCCACCTGGATGCCGCCCTGTGCCACGTGCTCTAGGTGTCCCTGCTGGAGCAGGGGGTTGGCCTAGATGATCTCTAGAGGTCCCTTCCAACCTCAACCATTCTGTGATTCTGTGATCTCAACACAGCCATGGAAGCAGAGTTATGAACTCCACAAATATTAATTCATCCAGAACAGGAATGTAAATCCCAACCGGCAAGTTCAGAGGATGAAAAAAAAAATCCCCTTAAAGCAGTCTCTCCCAGCTGGCCCAAAAGAAATTAACAGGAAAAATCTGGAGATAGAACATTTCAGATGGGAATATGCTGAAGGCTTAACATATATACATTAATATTTAATATTAATATTATTATTATTTTAGTAAGCTAATTATATTTATTTCTTCTTCCTCAATATTTTAACACATAAATCTTTCATGTTATTAAATTTTAAACTCCAGAGTGGAATGCTGCAACTAATAGAGCCCAGGGAACCAAAAAAAGCAACGTCTTAAAACACACCATGCTCAACAACAACTGGCGTGTTTAGGTTTTAGATATTTTAGATCACGTTTGTTCCTGCTGCATTTCAGGAAAAGCGATTTTGCACAACAATTGTAAATGAACAAGAGGAATTATGGATGCTCCTAATGTGCTCTTTATTTTCATTTCAACCAATACATTCCAACATCCTGAGCTGCAAACGAATAGATTGAAAAAGAAACAATATTATAAAAATGTGATGAACTATGCTGTCAATGAAGATGTTATGGAAGGCAAACTTTTGTCAAACAACATAATATGGATGTCTTCTATGCAAAATTCCATACACGTGTTTGTACTCATTTCTTTTAAACTAATAGTCACTACAGTAATAATCCTTAATCAACTCACAAATAGGGAGTGTTTCCTCCCATTACATGGGGACTAATTCAAACCTGTGAAACTTCATTTCTATTACACGACATGAAAGATGATTTTGCTCAAAACAAAGAAAGCCTAATGGTAGAGACACTGTAAACACTAGTTAAAAATAATTCTGTAAAACTGAGGCAATACGTCACTATATCTATTGTTCGTACGGAAGCACGTGATACTCAGTTTTGTTTTCCAGTATTACACGGAACAATCTTAAAATTATATTCTTGTGTTCACATGTTCAAACCATTAAATAAATACTCCTATATTCCTAATCTGTTATATTTCCTCTGATTAGCATACACAGGATGCCCTTTAACCTCTGGGCTTTTAAAGAAAATAACAATTTGTGCGAATAAATTAGTTTAAGGTGTTCTAAGGAGGAAAAAAAAAAAGATCTACTAGACAAGTTTTCATAGAGAAATACAGATCCCTTCATCTTCAAAATAATCTTAGGAGTCTAGACAACTAAATAGCACTACTGTGTCAAAAACAGCATCTCTGACAAAATCCATTATTTTTCAAAACCAACATTTTATTTGTTTTCTAATAGTAAATATGTTAGTCAAAAAAGTAATCTTGTTGCTATCTTTGCTATAAGAGAAGGAAGACAGTCAAAAATAATGTAATTTCATACTCTGACAGATTCCCCATTCTTATGTTTCCTAGAAAGGCCTAGTTTGCAGAGCTTCTTAAAAGTAGAAAGCAGAAAAACAAGTAAACTGGTAAAAACTTAAGGAATTTTCTTCATTGCTATGGTCTAGCCATTGTTTAATATATCTCAAAGTTCAAGTTAATACCTAAGAAATATCTATGATTTATGTTTTTAAGCATGAAAACAATACTGACATCTGCTGGCACTCAGCAGTACAGAATAATTTCTCATAATTTATTCTAAAAATGCACAATGAGACAAAACAAAATGGACAAACGGACCAATTAAGCATAAAGATTCATGCAAATAGAAAATATTTCAAAGCCACAGACACAGTCTATGTAGCAGCAGGTTTTCACTCTCCATTTTAAAAAAGTAGAAAACAATAACTAGTTAAAGAATCCTTCCGGTCTAACCACCTGGTCTTTGGTTGTGTGTCACTGGACAAATGAACCTCATGATTCAATTGATCCAGCCCTTTATTTCCATCCAGCAATTATATTTTAAGTTGCAATGATTTAGTTTCCTTGGCCAGAAGATAATAATTCTGTATGTATTCTTTTTAAGGAAAAATCTGAGCTTTAAATCTGATGTGTAGAATTGCAGAGATCATCTGTCTTCCATCAGTAATCAGTACTATCCAGGCATACCCAGAAAAGCTTAAAATCCTACAGTGGAATTGAGATTTGACAAAAACAACAGGGCCCCAAAAAGCAGACTGGCTACACTTTTTTTTTTTTTCTCCTCCCCTCCCCGTACATTGGAGGTTCATCCCCCTTCCCAGATTTCAGGTATCAGAATTTTGGGTTGATTCATTTCCATGACTGCTTATCTAAATTGCCATGAATGCTTTTTAACAGGTACCACTTAAGATGGAAAAGCATTACCATTCCAGGATTCCCATAAAGGAATCTCCTTAATGACAAAAAAGACATTTTTAAAAGCTACTGTAGTTCATGCGGGTCACAGATAGTCACGGGTACAACTCTTGAATTACAAAAAAAAAAAAAAAAACCTTTTTCTCAAAAAGCATTCCTATATTCCTGTCTAATCAAATATATGTATTTCTAGTTCTTGACCTTCTCACCATTCATTTTATGCAACAGCAACCACTAAGACCCTTATTTTTAACAATAGAAGCCTTAACCAGGGGTGCACACTTTTGTCTGAACACTTGCTCCAGCTCTAAAGAAGACTCAGAATAAGCAAAACTCAGAGATGCAAAGGCTGTCCACACAACTGCTTGTATTTAAAGGTTAAAAAGTGCACTTAGAATATATTTAATTGCAAGAAGATTGATAAGCTTGGCTAGATGAAGCCTGAAAGCAGAAGCCCAATCTAATCATTCCAGTTTAGGGCCAACATATGCATGACTCTGTGTGTGTGTTTAGAGCAGTTTTCCAGAATGGAAAAATAGGTCCCAGAAACTTGAGACCAGGCTATTTCTTATCAGAATATGCATCCCTCTCTCTGCTTTTTTTAAATTAAAGACAAAGAAAATAAAAGATTGCTTATATAAGTTTTAACTGTCAACATAAGCCTTTTAAAAACTTCTTCTCTTTATGCTCAAGCTTTACAAGCAAAATTTCATTTTAGAATATTATGTCAAAATCAGCAAAACGTTCCACACGTTCCTGCTCCCAGATCAGCAGGGCCAATCGGCAGGGAAAAGGCAGGGGGTTCAGTCTGCGCTTGGGCGACAGCCACCCAGGACACAGAGTGGGCAGGGGAGCACCGCTCACCAGCGAGGAAGGGTGCAGAGGAGGATGAGAGGTGAGGAAGGCCACTGCTCTACAAAGTAGGAAATCCTGCACCGAGATTTTTTTTTAATGTCCATGATGCAGCCCAGCTGCTACAGTGAAACATAGACATGACAGCATTTTCATTGGCTCTAACAAAATAATAAAGTGCTAAACCAAAAAATTATTCTAAATTCTACTTAAATGTTTATGTATGGTCACATCATGAAAAGGCAGTCAAATATTTTTAATGTATTACAGTAATTTTGGATAACTGCAAATATTTGTACTTTAAAGTCTTTCTTTTTATCACTTCAACATCAAATGTCATCCAAAAAAGCAGTTGTTAATACAGAAAGGTAGATAGTTTAAATTAAAATTATTTGGTGTTAAATCATTGTATACAACCAGTACATTCCCACTGTAAGTTTTATCATGAGCACACACAGAAGACAATTAATGAAATGAATAAAATGGATCATTAAAAAAGGCACAGTAAAAAACACTTTTTTTTTTTTTTTTAGTAAAACGCTGTAAAAACATATACGACAAGGTGCAATCTATATTATCTAAACATACCTTTCCAAGATCTGCAGCCTGTTTTAAAATATCTCTTTTTAGATCTTCTGCTCTCTTGGAATGAAAAGAATTACTTTGACTCTGGATGATAAATACAATTTCTTTTAATTCTGTGAACCAGAAAATAAGATTTAAAGACAAAAGGAGTTATTTTAAGCTTTGCTCCAAAGGTAATGAGAACACAGCAAGGAGGACTGGGGGGAATCTATTGTACAGTAAGCTATTTAACTACACAAACATTGCATGGAATAGTAAAAAAGAGCTAATTTAACACACACACAAAATCCAAAGCAGTGCTTTTAAGAATTAACATATAAAAGGCATGTCTTATCTATGAGATTTGCAGCAACAAAGAAATGTAGGCACCCAGTAACAGTAACCACATAAGTCCTATCATTTCATGAAGTTGCCTTCTAATGTAGCAGCATTCATTATTATCACAGCATTAAAAGTTACTGATCATAAACCAGCTTCTCACATAACCAGGCAATGGCTGAATATGAAACAAAAAGAGATGGTTCCTAACCAAATCCCTTAAAATCTGTTAAAGATGAGCACCAGATGGACACACATACGCAGAAGTAGTAATAGTCTTTTATGCAATAGGGCAGCATCAACATCTTGTGTCTCCTTGATTTATAGTGTTTAAAGGTATCACAGTTAAGAACTTGCAACAAGAGAGGATCAAGGACAATCAAGGGATGAGATTAGGGGACATCCCACCTCAGCTTTCACTGTTTGGTGGCAAAGAAAGAGTGAACTTCACTGATACTACGCAGAAAACAGGCAAATCAGGCAAGGCAGTGCAGAACCATTTTGCCACTGACTGAAAAGTTAGTGGCTAAGGAATAAACAGGATATTAATGACATTGTCCAATGGAGAAGGAGATAACTAGAGGACTTGTAACAAAGTGATGGATTGAAAACTCCATTTACATCCTAGTAAACTCGTGGTGAGAGCCTGATCAATCATAAGAGATAATAGATGTTAATTTGTTCATGGAGGAGGCAACACAGAAAATGTTCGAATTTCCATGATAGTATTATACCAACACAAGAGAGCGGGAAAGAGGAAGAAATGAAAGATCTTCTTCAGAGGGCTACATGAGAGGTCAAATTGAAAAAGGTCTTGGATGAATATTCAATAGATTAACTCCAGACACTGACAGCTGACTGGAAAGCAGACAGATTTTATTACAAGCGAAGTCTGAGTGAAGAAGACAAACGTCTCAAGGACAGAGCATGTTTCAGGAGGCACATGAAGTTTCTTATCAGACAGAAGAGAGCTCCAGCACCTCTAATCTGCAGTTGCTGTGTGATATAAGTTCAAAGTTATGTGCTACAAAATTAGTTTATAGAATGAATATTTTTGCAACATAGATCAAATCAATCTATAAGGTCCTAGTGTCACACTAACATCTTGATCTCCAGGATACAAATGCTAAAATAGCAACTAGAGCAGAATGAACGAAGAATAGTGGACAAAAAAAGATAGAGAGTAAGTTTTCAAAGAAATGAAGGAGGAAGAATATCAAGGAAAAACTGCAAAACTGAGCAAAAAATCATGACAAGAAAAACAGTGGCAACCAAAAGAAGACTAATACAAACTATCTTTGCCAAAATCCAATAAAAAAAAATCAACATCCAGTGGCTAAGGATTAGGCAATTGCATAAAAATTATACAGTATCCAAAGGAACATTCCTTTTGCTCATTCACACACCTTTCTCCTTGCTATTTTAGACTCAAATACAAGGTACTAGTTAAGTGTTTTTCTACCTTTACCATGATGTTCTTTTTTCCACAATTTATTAGCTTGCCCATCAAGACAAACTCTGAAGATATCAAACTCAGTTAAGTTTCTGAGGACGAAGCTGTTGGCATAAGCACTGATGCAGATATCAGTACTGACTGCACATTGTTCTTCCGCATAACATCCCTTCATGTTCTGACCCACTTGACAGACTACTTAAAAAAAGAAAACTGTGAAATAAAAACTTCTGAATAACAGCTATTTGTTCTCTAGTAGGAAATAAATTCACTGCAGAAATTAGCATCAATAAAGTGTAATTTTGATAAGAGCCAAAGGGCTGAATTTACATATACAATGGTGAAAATATCCTAAGAGAAAAAAAAGCAAAAATTAGACTGTTCTGTACATAATGTGTTTTATTATCAGCATATTTATAGATATACATACAGCTGAATTACGCTCAGTTTCACATATGGTACATTTAGCAACTGAGATATCCTGAAACAATATACTTTCTAGGAGTAATCTAACACCTGCCTTGGTGTTACTGCTTTAGTCCAATTGAAATATTTCCCTCTGGCGCAGGCACTTTAATTCATAGAAATAAATATGCACTGTATTGAAATGTCAACAGAAAAGCATGTATAAGTTTATAAATGCTTTGCTGCATCAATTTTTTTCTCAAGTTGAGAAACAGCCAACCAAGCAAGCCAGAGAATGGAGTCTTTCAGAAGATTAATACCTAAGAGAGCTCTTGACATATTGGTATTTTACTTCTCTTGCTGATGTCTTTTTCATTTCCTTAAGACATTCCCTTATCTGGAAACCATCTTCATTCTAAAATGCTCATTGATTGGAAAGATACTGCAAGGTCTCGTACACACACATACCAAAAAAAAAAGTTCGGAAACAGAAAGGCTGAAAGTTCTGAGTCTTATTAGAATTAGCAATGTCTCATTGCTAAACAGAATAAAGCCTTAACAAATTTATCAACAACAACGTGTGCTCTACAGAGCAGACAGTGACCATATATAAATGTGACTTCTTTGGAATAATCGCTAAATCACTTTTTAAGAAGGTTGTGGAAAAACAGATAAGCCTTGCAAGAGAATGACCTTTTTTTTTTTTTTTTTTTTTTTTTTTTTTTTTAAGTAGTTTACTTACCACAACAAGAAGTTTTAGTTAACTCTAAAGTACCAAAGATCTTATAATAAACATTTGAACATTTCAAGTAGGGCGGGGGGGAAAAAAAATAAAGAGGAATATAAGAATAGAAGATAATGACAATGCCTGTTAGCCTTTCTCTTCTAGTCAGTGATTAGAGGATTCAAGTGGAATGCAAGAAATGCAAATTCAAAGCTGCTTCCCTGAAGCAAGGCCAGACGGACCGACCTGAATGCAGGTCTTCGATGCTCCAAGTGAGCAACCAGCTGCAAGCAGATTCTGAGGTGGGTCTTGGCTGTTCTCTTCTACTAAGCCAGATACAGAGAACAGAAAATGTCTCTCTAGCTTCCTTATTGCTAACTCACCTGACATAAGGGACACCTATAACTATGTCTCTGACTCACTAAATATTTCATAGAATCATAGAATCATAGAATGCTTAGGGTTGGAAGGGACCTCTAGAGATCATCTAGTCCAACCCCCCTGCATACGCAGGGACACCTAGAGCACGTGGCACAGGACTGCATCCAAGCAGGTTTTGAAGATCTCCAGAGAAGGAGACTCCACAACCTCTCTGGGCAGCCTGTTCCAGGGCTCTGTCACCCTCACTGTTAAGAAATTTTTCCTTAAGTTCATGTG